AGAATCGAGTCCTTGTGACCCAGACCTATGGCCCTCAAAGACGAAAATATCTGTCTACCCCTTTGCCAACACCTGCTCTCACCACTTACTGTGTTGCAACGGACCCTGTTGCTTATTGCCTGACCTATAGTCACACTTTTTTCTGTGCTAACAGAATGTCCATTTTATTTAATATCCATCCCTCTGGCAAGGTAACCCACATCCACGTGTGTTAAGAAGTCCTGGTCCATCCTTAGTGATTGAATTATTGTGAAGTGAGCTTAGTAGTATGGTGCGTGCAGTTCTAATGAGCTATATAAGTGGAAATCTGCTTAGTGATTTCTGGGAAACATTTTGTTTTCTTTTTTTCTTTTTTTTATTTTTTATCCTCACCCTAGGACTCTTTTGCATTTATTTTAAGATAGAGCTGGAGGGCCTTGGTCAGTTTGGCTCAGCGGTTAGAGCATTGGCCTGCGGTCCAGAGAGACCCGGTTTGTTCCTCAGTTGCAGTTTGTTCCCGGCCCTGGTTGGGTCATGTGGGTGGCAGCCACTCGATGTGTCCCTTTCACGTCGATGTTTCTCTCTCTCTCTCCCCCTCCCACTGGGGTGAGGATTTAAAAAAAAAAAGATAGAACTGGAGGGAGAGAGGGAGGAAGAGAGAGAAAGAAAGATAGATGTGACAGAGACACATCCAGTGGTTGCCACATGACCCCAACCGGGGCGGGAACAAACTGCAACTGAGGTAGTGCCCTTAGTGGGAACCGAACCCCGGTCTCTGGTCTGCAGGCCAATGCTCTAACCATGGAACTAAACTGGCCAGGGCTCATTAGTTCTTTATATGCTTTGTTTGCACCAGTTTTCTTTTTATCTGTGCCACTACAAATGTATATATTTTATTGTGTTTTTTTTTTTAAGGACAAGCTTTTGGTATTATTGAGTTTTTAATTTGTTAACTTAAAAGACCTATAACTTAATCAGTATAAAAGCAGTATTTACACACACACACACACACACACATACATTTAACATATTTATACTTATTATTCACATATACATATACAAATACGATATATAAATATATGTGTGTGTATTACATGTATAAAGATGATGTATTTTTCACATATGTAAAATATAATAGGTATTTTAAAATAAAATAGATATTGCATTGCCCAGATCAAGAAACAGAGCACTGTCAGCACCCAAGTGGTGTTCTTTGCGAACTATTCCATTTATATTACAACCTCACACCCATAGGTAATTACTTCCAGTCTCTATACCAAGCACTTTGTCTTATCTTTATACTTTTAGTCGTTTTATTGTATTGCTTTGGCCAATTTGTCTATTGTACTGTTATGACTAAAGTAACTTTAAGCCCCAATAACTGATAGAGCAGGTCTTTCAATGTTTCGTTTTGTTTTTTTAATCCTTATCCCAGGATATTTTTCCATTGTTTTTTTTTTTTTTTTTTTTTTTTTAGAGAGCGAGAGGGAGGGAGCTAGAGAAAGAGAGGAACATCAAAATGAGAAAGACACATTAATTAGTTGCCTCTCCCACAACCCTGACCCTGACCAGGGCCAAGTATCAAACCTGCAACCGAGGTACGTGCCTTTTTGGCTCAGCAGTTGAGCGTCAGCCCAGAGAGTCCCGGGCTCGGTTCCTGCTAGGGACACGTACCACAAAAAAAAAAAAAAAAAAAGAAGAAGAATTTTGATTGGGATTTCATTGGGTATATATATACATTTGGGAGACATGATATCTTGAAAATGCCTAGTTTTCTGAGTCAGCTTCATAGTCCATCTTTGCATTTTTTTTTAATTAAGTCTGTTAAAATTTATCTCAACATTTCCTACATATGAAATATTTTTGAAGTTCCTCCAAATGACAGTTTATAAATTTTATTTTGTTTGTTGATGGCCTGTTTGTCTATCAGTTACTGGGGGAGATATGTTGAGATCTTGTACTGTTTGTTTGGATTTGTTTATTTCTTTTTGTTTTTTGTCAGGCTGTATTATTAGGTGCATAGGAATTGCAGACTTTTATAAGGTGGCTAATTGAACCTCTTAGCAGTGAGCATTGTTTCTCTGTCCTTGTAATAATTTTGGGTTTTCTGGTCCGTTTTCTCTGACAATATAGTTTATACCAGATTATTTGTGGTGACTCTTTATATACTTTGATATATCTTCACAATATCTTTTTCTGATCTTTTATTTCAAGCTTTCCATATCATTATTTTTGAACTATGTCACCTATAACAGCATGTAACTCAGTTTTAAATTTTAATTGAGTGTGACAGTTTTGAGGCATTTGTATTTACTGTAATTAATTGGAATTTTTGTTCTGTTTATACTTAATATAATTTTTTTTTAAATCCTCACCCCTGGATATTTCTCCATTGATTTGCAGACAGAGTGGGAGGGAGGGAGGGAGAGAGAGAGAGAAACACTGATGTGAGAGAGACACATTGATTGCCCGTACCCTGAATGACCGCAAGGGGGGCTGGGGCTTGAACCCGCAACTGAGGTACGTGTCCTAGACTGGGAATTGAACCCTTGACTCTTTAGTTCGAGGCCGACATCCCAAGCACTGAGCCAAACTGGCCAGGGCCTTAATATAATTTTTAGTGTGATTTACTTATGTGTTTTTAAATACATAATCTTTTATTTTTTTTAATTGATTTAACAGAGACACACACACATTTATTTTTTTGTTCCACTTATTTATGTGTTCATAGGTTGATTCTTTTTTTTTATCCTCACTTGAGGACATGTTTGCATTTATCTTCAGATAGAGTGTTGGGGGTAGAGGGAGAAACATCGATGTGAGAGAGACACATTGAGTGGTTGCCACCCACACGACCTCAACTGGGGCTGGGGACAAACTGCAACTGAGATACGTGCCCTTAGTGGGAACCGAACCAGGGTCTCTCTGGTCCACAGGCTGATGTTGTACCCGCTGAGCCAAACTGTCCAGGGCTGTAGGTTGATTCTTGTATGTGCCCTGACCAGGAGTCAAACCTGAAACCTGGGCATATTGGGACAACACTAACCGATGGAGCTACCTGGCCAGGGCAGTATGTTTTGTTTTGAAACAGTCATCTAAATGTGTTGTTGTATTTGTTCCCATTGTTTTGTTTTCTGTATATTAGTATTTTTGCCTTGTTTTAGAAGATTTTATTTTTAATATGTTTTTATTGATTTTAGAGCACAAGGAAGGGAGAGGGAGAGAGAGAAAAATATTGATATGAGAGAGAAACATCAATTGGTTGCCTCCTGTATGGACCTATCAGAGAATCAAACCCGCAACCTGGGTATGTGCCCTAACTGGGAATCGAACCAGCAACATTTTGGTACAAAGAACGATGTAAAACTAGCTGAGGCACACGGGCCAGGGCTCAGGTGAATTTTAAAATTACACTTTCCCCACCCATTAGCGTGGAAATTCTGTCCCTTAAGACAGCTGTTTCATCCTGACACCAGAGACAACATACAACGTGGGACTTTGTTAAATTTTTGTTTTAAATGTTTTTTTCCTTGATTGATTTTAGAGAGAGAGAGGAAGGAAGAGGGAGAGAGAGAGAGAGAGAAACATCGATTAGCCGCCTCCTGCATGCCCCCCACTGAGGATCAGGCCCACAACCTGGGCATGTGCCCTGACCAGGAATCGAACCAGCGGACCACTTGATGCATGGGTCAATGCTCAACCACTGAGCTACACCAGCCAGGCAAATTCTTGTTTAAAATAGTACTTTTACACTTTTCCCCGACAATACAGGGATCTTAAAGCATTTCAACTTCATTTACCATCTTCCAGTTAATTTACAATCTTCTATACTTTTCTTTTATATGTATTTAAACACCCCTAAGATATTATCACGTTTGCTTATGAGACAGTGCTGATGACGTGCCCAGTCCATAGGCTTTCCACTTGAAATGTGTGCACTCGTGGGGTGTACACAAACATTTAAGAGGTACCTAAGTACACAGGATTTAAAGGGTAACAGCACCCAGATCCCTTCCTTTTATATGGTCTCCTTTGTGTAAGTGGTTTTCTTGACACTCATCTGCTCCTGAGGCGTGGTGCAGGAATGGATATCATTTCACAGGTCACCTATAACAGTTACCCCACTTACACTCCACAGGGTAAAGGCGTACCTCCACCACAGTTAGAAACTAAGGCTTTATCAGCAAGAAGAATAAATACTTCTGGACACCATATAAAGGATACTAGCGATATTGTGGGCATTGTGTGAGGGCGAGCGCTGAGGAGCAGTGTAGCATCTGGGCCCAGAGGAAATGTACCACCTGATGTATTTTCTTCTCAATCCACAGGTCCTGACGTTCCAGGAGCAGAAGAATCATGTGAAGCAGGAAGAAGCTGCAGGGTTAGGTGTTAGCAATGCTGTGACACACCAGACTGAAGACAGATTTCTCAGCAGAAATTAGAGCAGCCCCAGCACACACCAACACAGAGCCTCCCTGCTGCCGCTCTCTTCAGAGGACAGAAAATGAAGGCTCAGGTGATTGGGTTTGTTCCATCCTTTCTACTGTAATGAATTTATAGGGGCTTATAAAAACCATCTTCATTAATCTGAAAAAAAATATATATATGTTTATATATGTGTGTGTGTGTGTATGTATATATATCTTGTCTCTCAAATATGTGAATGTGATGTTTCTAGGTTAACGAGCATTTTTCTTCACATTATAGAAACTTCTAATTGGATAAATGTAAGGATGACTGAACACACAATTACAAAATACAGGATGGGGCAAAATTAGGTATATAACTGTGAGCACGCAAAACAGAGTTTATTCTTGTATTATTATGAATGATTGTGTTATTTTTCATATGAACAGCTATAAACCTTTTGTCCCACCCTGTAGTTAGATAGATGTGAGATTACTCAGCTGTATATAAAATAAAACCCCACTTGCTATGTAGATGCACCCTATAAAGCAGAAATGAGCAGAAAAACGAACATTTCTTCCATATCATCTGAAGGACGTCCTGTAATAAACAGCATGGTGTTGTTACAGGAATCTCTGACATTTCACGATGTGGCCGTGGACTTCACCTGGGAGGAGTGGCAGCTCCTGGACCCCCATCAGAAGAACCTGTACAAGGATGTGATGTTGGAGAATTTCAGCCACCTGGAGTCAGTGGGTGAGGACAGCTCCCTGTCACCCAGCACTAGCCTGTTAATGGCTTTTCTGTTCTCACCTGCTTAACTCTTCAGAATAACTGCCTTCCCCTTAAAGTGTGGAATCTCAGGTCATTCTCTTGCCCCTGACAGGAGGGTATAGTTTCCCCTCTTCTGAGAGAAAAGTCTTTTTATTACAGATCTAACCTGTTCATTCCCTGAAATGTAACATTCTCCCTTCTTGACAGACCTCAGCCAAATTCAACATGTCTAAGTCTCCTTTTGTTTTTCTCGAGCAGGGTGTCAAGCCAGCAAACCAGACGCGCTCTCCAAGTTGGAACGAGGGGAAGAACCATGGACAGCACAGGATGAGCTCCACTGTGTAGTCTGTGCAGGTGAGTGAAGGAGACTCAACAGGTGGGCGGCAGGGAAGGCACATTCTAGTCAGAGCAGGTGTCAGAGCGGTGGCAGTGAAGGAGGAAACTCGACCCTCCCTCCATGGATGAGAACCCTGTTCCTTTGTAGACGTTTAGAGGAATTCATGCCCCCTTTTCCTCTTCTCAGCTCTGACCCTGGCTTATTTTATCTATATTTTGTTTTTGTTTATGTAGTTTTCTTCCTCATAGGATTCTCAGATCTTCTCTGTCCATGGTCACAGTGTCTCTGCCTGTGTTACCACCTTTTCTGCTATTAAATTCTACTTTCCAGCCTCTCTGGAATAACAAGAGTTTAACTCATCACACCTTAGATGCTGTATCCCTCTGATAACCTGCTTTTCCCGGTGCATTTATGTCATTTTTTTTGTCCCCCTGCCCCAAGGTGCTTCATACTCAGTTCTCATCATTCTTAAAATTTTCCTCAATTCCCATGTGTTAACTCATTCTGTTGTGTGCAGTGGTCTCCCAGATTGACTTCTCCCTCAATATTGTGTAATGTAATGGCCTCTGACTTCCCATTTTAGTTGTGAAAGCAGGAATCATCTTCCATCCATTCTTTTTAAAATTTAGTTTCTCTTTCAATACTAGCCAATTTTTTTCGATTGATTTCTAAAGAGAAAGGAAAGCCAGGGGAGAGAGAGAAACATCGATGTGAGAGAGAAACATCAATTGGCAGCCTCTCATGCCCCCTCCGATCGAGGATCAAACCTGCAACCTGGACATTTGCCCAAATCTGGAATGGAACTGGCGACCTTTCGGTGCTTAGGACGATGTTCAACCAACTGAGCCACAACAGCCAGGGCTCAGCACTAGGCATTTTAAATTCTGTTCATCATGACATCACTTGGGATGTTCCTTACATGCTGAACTGCCCTCTTAAAGGTCTGTAGACTTTCCTTTGATGAACAAGAAAAGATCTTAACATCCTATGTGAGTTACAGCCCAAACTAGTTCATAACTTATTCTGCTTCAAGTGACTTCCTTTTTTTCTTAATTCAGATTTCTTTCAGTCTTAGATGTTATTATTGCATTTATTTTCCTAAAGCATTTGTGTTTACATCATACATTTAATGTTTTTTCTTAGATTTAAGTCACGTACCATACAATATAACCATCTAAAATATACAGTTAGCCCTGGCTTGGTGCCTACGTTGGTTGGAACATCATCACATACGCCAAAAAGGTTGAGGATTTGATACCCAGGCAAGTCACATACCTAGGTTGCAGGTTCAATCCCTGGTTGGGGTGAGTACAGGAGGCAACTGATGGATGTTTCTCTCACATCAATGTTTCTCCCCTTTCCCCTTGAGAGGGCTTACTAAATTCCAAAACTGTATATACGCTTTCCCCTATTACTCGATGTGTTTTGAAACCCGGTATCATTTAGTACTCTTTCTTTGAAGAATTTGTATATATTGATGGGACTACATTTTCAGATAAGACCTTTTTTATGATTTCTATATTCAACCAGTTTTTCTATATTTTTACTTGGATATGTAGTAATCATCTTAAACTTTGTTTCACAATGCACTCTAGTCTTTCTCTTCATTCTGGACTTCAGTAATATTCCTCATTTCATTAGGAGGCATTCAACCAAGCCAGTAGCTTAAGCCACATAATTCTTGGAGTAATTTTATTTTTAATTTTTTTTTATCCTTACCCGAGGACATTTTTGTTTTTCCATTTTTTGTTCAGATAGAGTGGGAGGGAGAGGAGAGAGAGAACCATCGACGTGAAAGTGACATATCAAGTAGCTGCCACCTGCACGACCAACCAGGGCTGGGGACAAACTGCAACTGAGGTATGCACCATTAGCGGGCACCGAACCCGGGTATCGCAGGCCAACATTCTAACTGCTGAGCCAAACCAGCCAGGGCTATTTTTAATTTTTTTCCCTTTATTGATTTTAGAGAGAGAGAGAGAGAAACATTGATGAGAGAAAACATCCATTGGCTGCCTCCTTCATGCCCCCCACTGGGGATTGGGCCCACATCCTAGGCATGTGCCCTGACTGGGAATCGAACCAGCAACCTCTTGGTGCATGGTTGACACTCAAGCACTGAACCACATGGGCCGGACCTGGAGTAATTTTTGAATCCTCACTTTCATTAACCTCTTCCTGTTTCTCCCATTGAGCCAATCAGTGAACCTTGTCTTCTCTTTAAATACAGGGTAGGCTAAAAGTAGGTTTATAGTGTTGAGTACATGGAACACAGAGTTTGTTCTCATAATATTATTTATATTGTATTATATTCTATATCAACAACTATAAACCTCCTTTTGCCCCATCCTGTATTTCCTCCTTTCTTTTACCTCTTATCCTTTGCTCCTTTTCCCATGTTTCACAGGCTGCAGTGGCCTTTATTACTTTGCCTCAGGTGTATGTAAGAAGAATTATGAAACCTGGGTGTCCTACAAATTGAACTCAATTCTGACACTATCTACATAGAAATTGTTAGAATACAACTTAAGGGTCCACTCTCCATTTCAGATGTCAGTTGCAAGTATAGGTTGTCACCCTAGCTACTGCCCAACTGGGTATAAATTGGAAGTTTTCATGAGCTTTCCTTCAATTCAGTTAAATTCTTAAAGCAGCTCACAGAAATCTGAGATATACTTACTTGTGTTTACTACTTTATTATAAAGGATACAGATGAGTAGACATCTAGGGCAAGGTCTGAAGAATTCCTTAATACAAGAGCTTCTGTCCCCTTTGAGCTAAAGTGAGCCACCCACCAGGCACGTGGATGTGTTTACTAAACCAGAAGCTGATCATATCTAGTTAAGAGGGTTTTTTTTCGTTTGTTTTTTTGTTTTGTTTTGTTTTGTCTTTAATCTTCACCTGAGGATATTTTTCTGTTTATCTTCAGATAGAGCAGGAGGGAGAGAGGAAGAGAGAGAGAGAAACATCAATGCAAGAGAGACACATTGACTGGTTGCCTCCTGTACGACCCTGACTGGGGTCGGGGACGAACCCCAACTGAGGTATGTGCCCTTGGTGGGAATTGAACCGAGGACTCTTTGGTCCGCGGGCCAACACTGTAACCACTGAGCAAAACCAGCCAGGGCTAGTTAAGAGTTTCTTTAGAGTTTTAATCTCTAGACCCTTTCTTTTTTCCAGAGGTCAGTGGATGGGGATGAAATGTCAACCTTCTAATCAATTGGTGTTTCTAGTGACTAGCTCCATCCTGAGAGTATATAGGAAACTTATTAGCATAAACTCATCTATTTTAAATGTAGAACAAGATACTTCTATCACTTAGGAAATTAGAAAGGTTTTACAAGCTATTATAAAGAATTGTACATGAAGACCAAATACAGTTCTTATTTGATAGCTCATAGGATTGTCACTAAATAGTTAATTCACATGAAGGCTTTTTGCAAAATAGTTTTATTTCAAACTAGGATTATGAGAGACTATGGAATGAGTCACTGTTTTTTTCTATCCTAGAACTCAGGAAATATGATTCTCTGCAGTGTCACTTGCAAAGTCAAAGCATTCGGAAGAATGTGGAACGATGCTGTGAACATATATTTGCAGATATTAATCAGAGCAGTGGTCATTTCCTATTAAAGCAAAATCACGATACTTTTGAGAGAAGTGAAAAACCTTTAAAACCAAATTTATGTTTTGAAAACCAGAATAGAAGCCATAACTTAAAAAACTCTATTGAGGTGAATGGAGATGGTACAGCCATTATGCATGCTGACCGTGAAGAAATTTACACTGAAATCACATTGCCTGTCAGTACCAAACCTATTAATAAGAAGTCCCAGATCAACACAGAGAAAGTCCACGGATGCATTGAGTGTGGGAAAGCCTTCATCAAGATGTCTCAGCTCGTTCGTCATCAGAGAGTTCATACTGGAGAGAAACCTTATGGATGCAATCTGTGTTGGAAATCCTTCAGCAGAAAATCCAGGCTCACTGAACATCAGAGAATTCACACAGGACTGAAACAGTATGAATGCACTGAATGTGACAAAACTTTCCTCAAGAAATCACAATTCAATATACATCAGAAAACTCACATGGGAGAGAAACCTTATATGTGTAGTGAATGTGGGAAAACATTCATCAGAAAGTTTTGGCTTATTTGTCATCAGCGAACTCACACAGGTGAAAAGCCCTATGAATGTAGTCTATGTGGGAAGTCCTTCTGCACAAAGTCTAATCTCAATAAACATAAAAAAATTCATACAGGAGAGAAACCTTATATATGCAGTGAATGTGGAAAAGGCTTCATTGAAAAGAATCATCTTATTGCACATCATCGTACTCATACAGGAGAGAAACCCCATGGATGTCGTCTATGTGAGAAGACCTTCCGTACAAAGTCTAATCTCAATAGACATAAAAAAACTCATACAGGTGAGAAATCTTATATATGCAGTCAATGTGGAAAAGGCTTTATCGAGAAAAGGCGTCTTATTGCACATCATCATACTCATACAGGAGAGAAGCCCCATGGATGCAATTTATGTGGTAAGACCTTCTCTACAAAGTTTAGTCTCACTATACATCAGAAAACTCATACAGGAGAGAAGCCTTATATATGTAGTGAATGTGGTAAAGGCTTTATCAAGAAGAGTCGTCTTATTGTGCATCACCGATCTCATACAGGAGAGAAACCTTATACATGCAGTGAATGTGGGAAAGGCTTCTCAATGAAGCTTTGCCTTATTGGACATCAGCGAACACACACAGGAGAGAAGCCCTATGTATGTAGTGTATGTGGAAAAGGCTTCACCATGAAGCGTGATCTCACTGTACATCAGCGAAGTCATACTTCAAATAAACCGTATATGTGCAGTCAATGTGGAAAAGGCTTCATTGTGAAGCGTGGTCTGATTATACATCAGAGAGTGCACACAGGAGAGAAACCCTATGTGTGCAGTGAATGTGGAAAAGGATTTCCAGTGAAAAGGCAGCTGATTGTACATCAACGGACTCATACAGGAGAGAAACCTTTTTTATGCAGTGAATGTGGGAAAGGCTTTTCAACAAAGCATTGCCTTATTGGACATCTGCGAACTCATACTGGAGAAAAGCCCTTTCTATGTATTGTGTGTGGAAAAGGCTTCACCATGAAGCGTGATCTCACTGTACATCAACGAAGTCATACTTCTGAAAAACCATATATGTGCAGTGAATGTGGAAAAGGCTTCATTGTGAAGAGTCGTCTGATTGTACATCAGCGAATACACACAGAAGAGAAACCCTATGTATGCAGTGAATGTGGAAAAGGCTTCCCACAGAAAAGGCAACTGATGGTACATCAGTGGACTCATACAGGACAGAAACCTTATATATGTAGTGAATGTGGAAAAGATTTCACAGCAAAGCATAATCTCATCAGACATCACCTAAAACATGCAATAGAGAATCCCTATGAATGTAGTGTATGTGGAAAAGGCTTCACCACAAAGACTGATCTCACTTTACATCAGCAAATTCATACTTAAGAGAAAATGTATGTGCAGTGACTGTGGGAAAGGCTTTACCACGAAGAGTCATCTGTGTATATCAGCGCACTCATACAAGAGAGAAGGTTATATATGCGAGGACTATAGCAAAGGCTTAATTGGGAAAAGCATGCTCGTTGCACAACTGTGAATCCATATGAAAAGAAACTATATGCAATGAATGTGGAAAGAGCTTCATTATGTAAAGTATTCATCAGCAAACTCATACTGCAGAGAAGTCATACAAATGCAATAAATGTGGTCAAGGCTTTAGGAATTAGACATGTCTTGTGCAACATCAGAGATTTCACTCAGGGAAGACGTCCTTTGCATGTATTGAATGTGGAAAGTTCGCATTGAGCAAAAATGATTTAATTACCCATCAGAGAATTCACAGGGGAGAGAAATACTATGAATATGGGAAAGCCTTCACTACAAACTCAGGACTCAATATTCATCAAAGAAAACATACAGGAGGGAGGTAGTGTGAGTGCAGCAACTGTGAGAAAGCTTTTGCCCACTTGTCAATTATTGTTAATCATAAGTGATTTCATAGTTACTTTGGGGAAACCCTGTTGTCACTTGTAGGTCCTCAAGGTAATAGTATGCAATGAAGAATAACAATGCAAAGAGAAAAAATGAGTTAATGTAAACATTGTGTTACTGTCTTTATTGGTCAATTACCTCATTTTATATTAAAAATTTACAAAACAACTCATATAGTCAGCCTTGATAATATTTTAGGACATTATATGTCTAAAAAGTTTATAGTGAACCCGGCCAGTGTGGCCACCATGGATTGAGAGGTCCTGGTTTGATTCTCAGTCAGGGCACATGCCAGGATTTTGGGCTCAATCCCCAGTGAGGGACATGCAGGAGGCAGCCAATTGATATATGTCTCTCACATCGATGTTTCTATCTCTCCCTCTCTCTAAAAAATCAATAGAAACATTTTTTTTAAAATTAGAAAGTTTATACTGAGGTAAATCCTATGAATCTGGCAGACTGGGAAATTTTTAAAAATATGTTTTTATTGATTTTTCAGAGGGAAGAGGGAGAGAGAGAAACATCGATCAGCTGCCTGCTGCATGCCCCCTACTGGGGATTGAGCCCACAACCTAGGCATGTGCCCTGACTAGAAATTGAACTGGGTCCTCTTAGTGCATGGAAGAATGCTCAATCCACTAAGCAACATCGGCCAGGCCAGACTAGGAAATTCTTTAGTGGGAAGTAGACCCCATCATATGTAATCATCAGAGATCATGAATGAATGAATGTTTCTAATTTTGAGAAAGTGTCTGCCCAAAAGTAGGACCTAAATAGATGTCAGTTCACACTTAGAGAAATACTTTTCTTGGCAGTGAATATGGCATGGTTTGTAGTAATTTTTGTTGCTTCATCATTTCCCAGGAAATCCATACAGAAATAACAATGAACACATTCCATTTGGTGGTCTTTAGCAAAACTTCAGATAACTTCATGAAGGCGAGAAACCTTGAATGAAAAAGCATTCTGTCACAGGTCTAAAACAGATAGTATGCCTCACAAGCAGTTGTATACAGGATACCTTCAGCCATCATTTTAGCTGCCTTGCCATAGACTTTATAACTTTTAAACAGTGGCAGTTAATTCTTATCATGGATTAAAGTTTAATATATACAACACAGGAATGTTCTATACCTGTTTTATTGTGTAGTTTTTGCACTTCAAGTTTGTGTTATTTCAGAATATTTGAAGTACTTGAAAATGAAGCAATATGTTCATTTCATAAGGATAACATTTTAATGTGCTTAACCAAGTTTATAAGGAACATCAGTGGTTTATAAAATGAATACATCTTTTTATAACGTTTACTTTTGAAATAAGTTTAGAAAAATATCTTTTTTTTTTTTCATCCTCACCCGAGGACATTTTTCCATTTTTTGTTCAGATAGACTGTGAGGGAGAGAGAGAGAGAAAGAGAAACATCCATGTGAAAGGGACACATCGAGTGATTGCCACCCACACAACCCAACCAGGGCGGGGGACAAACTGCAACCGAGGTAATTGCCCTTAGCGGGAACCGAACCCGGGTCTCTCTGGACCGCAGGCCAACACTCTTAACTGCTGAGCCAAACTGCAATTTTCGCCCTGGCCAGATTGGCTCAGCAGTTAGAGTGTCAGCCCACGGACCAGAGAGTACTGGGTTCAGTTCCTGCTAAGGGCAGGCAGCTCGGTTGCGGTTTGTCCCCAGCTCCCAAACCCAGTCCCGGTTGGAGTCATGTGGGTGGCAACCTGTCGATGTGTCTCTCTCACATTAATGTTTCTTTCTCTTACCTCCTCTCTCCCTCCCACTCTATCTGAAGACAAATGCAAAAATGTCCTCGGTTAAGGATTAAAAACAAAAACTGGCCCTGGACGGTTTGGCTCAGTGATCAGAGCATTGGCCTGCAGTCCCGAGAGACCCGGGTGGGGTCCCTCTAGGGGCACGTTCCAAAAGAAAAAAACTTACTTCCATTCAAACAGACTTCTATTTCCCAGCGACCTTGGTTGACTAACTGCGCCCAGTAGGCTCAGTCTGCGAAGCCAAATCCTCCTCCTCCCTGTGGTTCTTTTGATAGCACTTTCCCAGCTGCATGCTGTGGCAGAATTACAATTTGTGCTATCCAGATTCACGTAAAACTTGTACAATGGTATTAATGGTTTGGGCCATTACCTTTATTTCCCCTAAATAATCAGAATCAATAACTCCAGGCAACACTTGGAAACCTTTCATAGTGAGACGACTCCTTCCCCAAATTAAACCCACAGTTCCATAGGTAGTGGCCCATAGACCCCTGTTGAATAGCATGCAGCCCCATCTCTGGTGTTAATACATATCGGGCGGTTGGGCAGAGGTCCAGCCCTGCACTCCCTGAGGTGGTGTGGCAGAGATCCCAGACTGTAGTCCTGGACTCTGCCCTGGTTGAAACACCTGAGCAGGGGTGATAGACATTGCCCCCACTGTTTGACGGGGCTGGGGCTGGCCCAGCTTTCCATTTCCCTGCTGGGGTTCAAGTGGTTGTCCATTGACATCAGAGAACGGTAATATTTGGCCCAATGTCGGCCCCTGTGGCAACGAGGACATAGTCCTGGCTGCTTGGCAGAATTCCCTGACTGGTTGTGGGCACTGGAGTGCTGCTTACGCTCCCTAGCAAAATGACCTGGCTTTCCACAAGGGTAACATCCTTTCCCGCTTCCTCCTGCCTTACCGGCGAAGAGGACTTTTTTCAAATCCGCAGCTATTGCACACCCTTGTATATGGGAAGACCCAACATCTAAACAGATGTGAGTGAATTCAGATATATTAGCTTTTTTACGGTAAGGGCATATTGCCTCCCTGCAGGACTTATTAGCATTTTCATAGGCAAGCTGTTTTAACTATTAACATGCCGGCCTCTTAATCACTTTTTACTCTGATGACTGCCTATATCAACAGCTACAAAATTTTGATAAGGCTCTTTGGGTCCTTGACTGATGGATATCAGAGCTATCGAATTTTCCCCTTTTGTTGGGAGCTCTTTCCAGGCCTTCAAAGCACAAATACTAACACCCTAGGTGATCGTGAAGAGCCTGGTATTGCCCTGTACCCATGAGCATTTCCTAAGAGATGGGCACTCCATACTGTAGATGCTCTGTGGCCTGCTCACCACTAATCTCCATCCAGCTGGTTTTCCACATCAGCTAGTCCCCAGGTATAAGGCAAGCTTTCACTAATGTTTGCCAATCACCCAGGGCTAAGGCTTCACTAACAACATTCTCTAACAAACTGAGCACAAAAGGAGCTGTGGGCCTATGCGTAGTACAACAAGTACAAGAAGGCTTGAGCTCTTTCCATGTCTTAAATGGGATGGGCTCATATATTATTAATGTCTGATTTGGATTGTTCAGTTCAGGCTGCTCTATCACTGGCGATAATGAAAACCCAGTGATATCCTCTCCAGCCTGTCTTGCCTCTCTCAGTCCCATCTGTAAGGGAGAGAGCAGAGGGGTACTAGAGGGTTCTTTGGGCCAAGCCCCTGCATCCCCTCAGGATAGTCGAGAAGTAAGAGCCAATTCTGCAAAACTTTGGGTAACATTAAACTCAACTGAATCTTTCTCAGCGGGGTGCCTTGGATCTCGCTCCCGGCTCTTTCAATTTCTCATACTCTGGGGGTAAAGTCTCATCAGGGGGATTAACCCTCTCACAGCTGTATCGTAAGGTGGTGGGGGCGCCTTTAAGGACTCATAGCCTTTCTCGGCTTTTGCCAAGTCTTTCACTACACCTTGCTTCCCCAACCTTATTAGCCTCCTACACAGGATCAAGGCAATCTCTAATTAGGGACCAAAGAGTAAATGTTTGCACCTGAAACTTGTTTGGGCCTTTTGCTGTATCTCTGCCTCTCAGGCACTTCCCTACCTTTCCCCAAGTTTCCTAGTTGACTGTCCCCTCATCAGGAAACCAAGGGCAAGTTTCATTCACGTACTCTAAAAACTTGGAGTTGATATCTCTTTACTGAGCATCCTCAAGCCTTAATCATAGCTCTTAACATAGACACATAGAGATTTCTTTCTTGAGACATAGAATTCCCCATATTTACACATGGCGATGAGTCAATTAATTCCACTCCCCTACCTTACTTTCACTTCTCAATGTGTGCACTCATGGGGTGTCCTCTCCTCCTCGGCTTCAAGTTCCCAGGTGCTCAGGTCCCTGTTCAGGGCGCCACTTTGCCACGACCTGCAGCTAGTCGAACCAAACCTGAGGAGGGGTGATGGGAGACTAAGAAAGACACAGACACATTGTAGAGAAAGAAAAACGGGCCAGGTGGGGCACTGCTGTTTATTATATAGCCAATCGAAGGCTGGGGGGGAGGGGAGGTCAAACGTTTTATTGTCTTTATTGTTTTCAAACCCCAGATGTTTCTTATCAGCCTCTGAGCTCAGGTTGAGACTGTTGATACATTCTTGCCCTGGGCTCAATAGGCTCCTGCGTGGGCTTTGCAGGCACACAGGATTTTCGAGAGCCCTTGGGCAGGATGCTTCTGCATGAACCTTTCCAGCATGCAGGGTCAACAGGGGGTCTGGGACTAAAAGCTCCTAGGTGAGCTATGCGCCCTCCACACTATGTTCTTGGTACCAGTCTTTAATGACATAAAACTTGCTCAAAGAACCTGAAATTCCAGGTAGTTTATTTATATACTTCCTTCCTTCCTTCCTTTTCCTTCTTCATGCATGCCTATGGACCTCTAAGTGTTCCAGCATCATTTGTTGGAAAGGGTATCCTTCCTCCACTGAATAGACTTTGTACTTTTGTCAAACAGTTGAGTGTATTTGATATACGTTGGATTTTTTGTTGGAGCTCTATTCTGTTCCACTTACCTAAATGTTTATCATTTCACAAATACTATCAATATCAATACCACTTACAAATGTTGAAATCTGTTGACATGAGCTCTATATGACGGTTCTTCTTAGTGAGAATTGTTTTCCTATTTTCATTGTAGAAACCTGACAAATATTACCTTTACCAGAAGATCAATGTTAAGTCTTTTTGGTATTTTCTACCTCTGAATATGGTGTGATGAGAAAGACTTCAATTCCAAGTTGTCTTTTCCAAAATGCATAACCCCTGTTTAATGAGGGAAACTTAGACCAATCCAAAAGATGGA